CCCAGGGAAGTGGTTGAGTCACCATCCCTGGAAGTATTTAAAAGACGTGTAGATGAGGCGCTTAGGGACATGGTTTAGTGGGCCTGGTGGTGTTGGGTTGACGGTTGGACTCGATGATCTTAGAGGTCTTTTCCAACCTTAATGATTCTATGATTCTATGACATGCAGAAAGGGCAAAATGGGCTCTACCTGGAGAAACCCCAGGAGCAGCGAGGGGAGAGTGGAAAGCCTGGCTGTGGCTTTCAGTCAGGAAATGCATCGGTTAAACTAGTATGGTGAGTGCATGGGATGGGAGCAGGGCTGAAGCGCGCCCTGCCTGGGCTCACCTCTGTTAAAGTCAGGCGGGGCAGGCGGTGAGCAGGGTGACACGCTGTGCAGTGGCCGATCGACGCCTTTCATTAGTGCTGTGTCCCTGCCTGGGGCGGTGCGCTCTTTCCAGCTCTCCCTTCCGGCGGTGTGGCCATGGGCAGTGTAACCAGCGGTACCCGTCCTGCCAGTGGTGGGCAGCCTCCCCAGGGCATCCTGGGCAGATCTTCTCTCTGCCTCAGGCAGATGATGTAGCCCTGCTTTTCGTATCAAAACCGCTGGCAGATGAGTGCTTGCAGCACCAGCAAGTCCATTTCTGCACCAGCCTGGGCAGGGCTGCCGAGCTGCAGCTTTCACAAAAGAAATCTTCGCTTTCCATGAAGGACATGAGTGATGTTGGTAGACAGCGTTCAGGCCTGCAAAGCACGGGCTGGTAGATGCTCAGCGCGTGTGGGGCAGCATGGTGGTGTGGGGGGCAGTACCGATGAAAATAGAAAGGCACAAAAAGGTGAACATCCTCTGAGCAGAAACCATGACCATGTAAACACCGTCCCGTGCCCAGGAGTGAGGTTAGTGCAACAAGACCTCAATATTCTGTTATGAGGTTCATCGTGCAGGGAGGTTGTTTTCTTTTTCTTCTGCAAATATGTTTTTGGTGCTCTTAAATCCCTCCGGCTGACCAAGGGAAGAAGGCTTGGGATGTTCAACACACAACTTAAACCAGTCTTCCTTCCCCTCCTCACTTCTCCCGGCAAATGCTGGCAGGCGGTTCAGGACAGTGTGCCCTTCTCTCCATGTTGTGCTCCTAACACTGTAAAATACAAACTAACCTGGATTTGTCCTTTCATCTTTAACCAAGTAAGAAGAAAGTTCCTTGTGGTTGCTCTCAGTTCCTAACTTTTTTCTGCCCCTCTTTGAACTGGATTTTTGTGTTTTCATATTTTTATTAGGCTTATTATGTCTAATGTGGTATCCCAGTAACCTCAGCAGTCCTCAGCACACTGTAGCATCTGTCACAGGCAGTTCACGCTTCTCTGTCACAGGCGTGCTTGCACCGTGATGTCATATGATGAGTTTGATGTGAGCTCTTCTGGTTTAGATTAAAGCAGGTCATTACTGCTTGCTTTGGGGGAAGGTGGAGGTGAGTTTAGGGGTAACTCTCAGTTCGAGAAAGGTGTGTATCACTAACAGATACAGGCTTTGCTATTCTCTTCATCACATTATCATTTCATAGTTCCAGAGATGGGGGGGGAAGAAAAAAATCCATCACTCAAACTCAGTTTCTTGCAAAGTGGCTGACTTTGTATTTTAAAATGCACCAGGCGAAATTGCATCCAAGTGACTCTGTGTAATTATCTGGCAGAAGAAAAGGACCTCTGCAGTCAATAAACCATCTGTCATTAATTGAATCCTTCAAAAACAGCGTAAGAATGAGATCCATGCAGCAGAGGATGGGAAAGAGCAGTAGATGGACCTGCCTGAATTCCTTTG